CTATTAGAACACGCCATGTGATTCAGGCAGTTGCAAGGAAGCTATGTCCTAATGCAAACCCTGCAAGATTGGCTATGCAAAGCAGCAAAGAAAGTTGAAGTTTTTTTCTTGCCAGACTCTCACTCTTCTATATCCTTCCGAACTGCTGCTTGTGCAAACAGGAAACCATCACATAGTATGCCACCACAGTCTTTGGCTCTTGCACCATCTTTACCCCGTACCTGCAAATCTCACAGAGTTTTACGCAGCAGCTTCATTACTGCCAAAAAACTCAACACAGGGACGACAAGATTCAAGGTGGCAGTGGAGAACTGCACATAATGCATCACATAAAACCAAGTTTGGCTATCAATCACTTATTACATTTAGAATTAAAGGGTGAGAATGAATTGTCTTCGGCAATTTAGCTAATGAAGTATATTTGACACAGAGTAAATGTGCCTTTCAGATTCTGCCATGGGGCTAAATTGCAAATGCACTGATGGCATGTTTGTATCAGGTAAGGCTGCGAAATTAAAGCCAAAGGGAGATAAATAATTTCCTTTGCCGTCTATGTTTCTCAGGTCCTGATGGTGGAGTTATTTGTAAAAGATCATTTACAGGCAATGGTTGTGGAATGCATTGCTGTTAGACCTGGTGGAGAGCCTAAATGAGAACAAAAGTGAAATGAAAACAGTTTTCAGACAGTCGGTGCACTGTGAGGCGGAGAGGCTGTCAGGTTGGCTACATCCGCCCTGCTGAGACCTCCACTCCTCCACCAGCAGCACGTTCCCTGGAACCCTCCGAAGAGTCATTAGAGCTCAATGTGGTACTACCTCTCATTTTGCAAGTGTTGCTGTGCTACAGGTTCTTTGAGTGACGCTCAATTTTAGGTACTTAAGTAATTCCATGTTGTGCTACTTTTAACTTCTACTCCACAACATTTCATGTGGTGGCTTTTGTTACTTTGCAGGTCCAGGAATCATTGCATGTGCATTGTGAAATGCATATATTTGGGAAGTAGGATCGTCTGGATAAATAAGATTTGGATGAATCTGTTTTCCTTACTTAAATGTAATCTAATTCTTAAATTTTTTTTTTTGTACGAATTCAAGGTAGCACGTGATGGGTCATTGCTACACATATGGTAATTTGGGGGTGTAAGTTTTGCGTTAAGTAAACATTGAAGCTAAACCAAGAAATTAGTACTATTTCCATAACTGGATGAAATTAAATATTATGTTTAGGCTCATACTGTTTCAAATGTGGAGGAAAATGTCAGAGATAATGTGGATTGACATTCTCCTAACCCTAACCCTAGCCCCCACCCGAAAGAAGTGAGTCTATCAGAATGAGCATCAATTCCTGTGCCTTGTGCTAATACAGAAACAGAAGCACCTAAAATAGATCAATTGTGACATTATGCTCAGAAGTACAGAGAGTTATCTTGTGATGTTTTTGTTCTTTGTGAATCAAAGTTTGTGAATCGGTTTATAGCAACTTCCTTCTTGGTGGTTTTGATGCAATGAGGCAAGATGGTCAACCATCAGCATTGTGTTTGTGGTCAGGCATTTGCATCTTTGAGCAGACTTGACTGGGAGCATTTTAAATGTACAGTACAACCTTTGAGCTGCATTTCAGTGATTAAAGTGTGTCATTGATTCTACTCTAAAGAACCTAGATCTTGCTGGGGTTGGATTGTCATAATTTTTGAAAAATTAAAATATATTTTTTTATCTTTGTAATATATGTATATATGTTTCTATCACCCCTTGTTTCATATTTGTGTCTCTCTAATCAATGAATGATCACAAAAGAGAAGAAGTTAATGAGAAATAAAAAGGCGCACAGCATTAGCCTACCATTTTGAATTTGAACCTTGTTATTCCAAAAACGATTATTAAGACATTCTCGAACATTATAGTCAAAACTGATAGTTATAGTTTAAGCTTTGTATGGTGTCATTATCGCACACAGTTACTATACATTATAAATAAAAAACATCATAATCTTGCTATGCTTTCATCCAATAAATTGCCTGACCACCTTTACTAGCACCCATTGGTTATGGGTGCTAATTTCAAGATCTACTCCAATGCAATAAATCAAGAATCCATTGTGAACTGGGAATTGCTTCTGGATTGAATCGTGAGACTAACAACCATACTATATGTGTAAGAAGCTGTACCTTATGCTGAAAGCGGACCTCCTTTTATGGTTAGGTAATCTAATACTCTATACTATAATTTTTATAATTTATCTTAGTTTCTGTTGAAAAAACAAGGCTGCTCTATTACATTACCCTCACAATCTTTGTTGTTGCACTCAAGCACAAAGGACTTTGTGGATGCCTCTGAGAGAAGAGGTTGGCTGTTTGAGCCATTAGCTTATCTTCATTATATAATAACAGAATGTGAATTAGCTGTCAATGGTGGAAGCTGGCGTGGGGTGGGGTGGGGATTAAGGTTCCATGGCTCTCGCAGCACAGCCAGTGATAGAGGAGTTATATTTACAAGAGGCTGTAAATCACCCCATATGGTCAAGGCAATGTGGCAACACACAATGGGCACGTAAACACACATCGTCATAATTACACACACACACACACACACACACACACACACACACACACACACACACACACACACACACACACACACACACACACACACACACACACACACACACACACACGAGCGTAGACAGCAGGGCTTCCTGTCTGTTGTGCCGGATGCGGTGCATTTTTTTTATTCCTTTTCAACAGCTGAGAAAAACACACTCTGATTAAGAGATGCAACATCTACAGTGGATCACATTTCCCTTTACTCCTTCGCCAGATCAATCCCACTCGATGAGTCAATAATGGACGTATAATGTCATGTACTAAGCAATGAGACAACAATACATTTATTCTAGTAAAAAGCTGGATAAAGGATGAGGGATTTAATGCGTTTCTCTCAGCATCCTTCATCCCTTCACTCCATGTTTTAGACGGCAATTTATCAAACATCGAGGTAGATTTATCATCCTGAATGCAGCATTGTAATGAATAAAAGATCAACTGTTTTGTTGTTTTCACTGTGTGTATTTCTCTATATACATTAAAGAGCTCAACATTTAGTCGACTAATCCATTCGAGAATAGGAAGAGAAGTAGTCACAGGCTGCTTTGATGATTGAAAATGTATTAATCGGTAATTTTCCATGCAAAAAAATAAGAAAATACAGTTTTTCAAACCATTAAATTATGAGATGTATTGGTTTCTCTGTTTAATACAATAATAAAGTGAACATCTTTTGGTTAAGGAGTGACAAAACAAGACATTTTCATGCATCACAATGGACTATGAGGAATTGGGTTTGACATTTCCCTCTATTTTTTGAATTTTTTTGGAATAAACGATGAATCAAGAATGAAAATAATTGTGTTTTACACATAATAGTGACTTGTCAATCAGGGAGCTACATCCTAAAGCATACCTGGTTTTTACCGTCTAATTTGAATATAAATAGGTCCATAATTCACAAAACATCATACTTCAAAGAAGAAGACTTGAAATTAGCAATTGAGTTTATTAGTTGTAGCCCTATAGAAAAACACTTCATATATCCAATATGTCAGGCCGATGCACCTGCACATAAACAAACGCTGGACAGATACACATCGTACACTAACAGTACAGTAGGTATGATGAACATTAGGCAGCATCATGTCTCTGCCTTCGCTCACTGCCAGCATTATTGCCTGGGAATGAGGTTACTAACATATGGTGCAGGCGCGTTATGTGCACCGAGGGTACACTTAAACAAAATCAAATCCTCGCCCGTAGGCTATACGGTATGTCACGGACGTAATTAATCCTTGGATTGCACCGGCGCGATAACTTCGTAAATAAAACCACAGAAACCGAGAGCAGACACAAAGAAGTCTAGCTGATTGTAAAGAGGGTATTTCCTGCTGCCCCTTTGATCTTGGTGATTATAGACTACCACAGGGTGCCTATGGGTTAAGGTTACCATATAAGGTAGCACAGCCCTGTTCAATGTGCTGTGTAAGCCTGTTTATTGTCATGGCTTGCTTTTTTTGTTGTTTTCATCAAGCTTACAAGATTTTGATATGGCTCTCAATCTTGTCACATAATCTTCATTATAACTTTAAGAAAAGGGCTGCGCCATATCGTTTTTTTATTTTGTGACAGCAATGTCAGTTTAAAGATGCTCTATTATGCTTTTTGGAGTTTTCTCTTTGTGCATGTCAATGGTCTGCAAAGGCTAATATCCACAGTTCCTTCCAGACACTCCCCCCACTGCTTGAAACGCCTCAATTGGGCTCCTTTATTTACTTCCATATAGAATAGGGCCCCTTTAATGAGGGGCGTTAAAGGGGCCAGTACATTATGGTCCTGCTTGCTAGGATAAGTTATTGGTTTGAACGTTTATTTTGACCATCTAGAAGAAGCTCTGAGATTTTACGAGTTTGTTAAAAGAGAGTAGCAGAGAAACTGTGACTCTATTTTTATGGTACTTTCTGTGTTCATTTCAATGTTTAGATTTGATGCATAAAAGATTATTGGCAATAGTTCTCCCCATATTGTGCATATTTTGGCATCATATAATTCGTTTTTTACATTTTCCTGTGTGAAGTCCATGGCAGAAGTAGAACGACAGAAAAAGTCGAAATATATTTTCAGTTAAATTATTTTATTTGCATTAATGGGGGATGCAGATGATAACGTTTTCTCCAAACTGTTTGATGCAAGAGGCAATTATGAGTCACCGGCTCAGAATCAGCATGACACTATGTGTGTGTGTGTGTGTCTGTGTCTCTGTGTGTGTGTGTGTGTGTGTGTGTGTGTGTGTGTGTGTGTGTGTGTGTGTGTGTGTGAG